ACGAAAGGTTAAAGGACAAAGCAAAATCAACATGCTTATTATCATTGCACTTACAAATTTCTAGCTAATGACATTTCCATTGTTTAAAGCACAAAAGTTTGCACAGAAGTTTGGCATTAAAAGGAAAAAGCTAAAAATCGTATGACAAATGGAAAACATTTTACGAGCTTCCATGCGCCTGTGGCGCCTTTGTGTGTTCCGTTGCCTGGCGACAGGATACAACACACACACACACACATATGTAGTTTTAATTTACCAGTGCAGATTTCTATTGGGACACGCATTGTCCTTGCCCTTGTCTGCGCCCTTTTAGCCGATATGTTGTTTCTTGTTTGTGTGCAAACGTCAGAATTCAGAGATTCGTATTTTTTGTTATTTTTATTTTAGTTATTTTTTTTTTTTTTGTTGGTATGCATGCACCCATTCTGTGCACATATTCTGTGATATTTTTATGACCCGGCGCTTGGGCTTATGCATACATGCCGTTATGTCCCGTTTTATCCGTGCCCGCTCAATAAAACACACATAAATAATACATTGAAAATTATATAAGGCTGAAGGACTAAGTAAATATCGTTTAACTTTTGCTTTTTATGGTTATGCTGGGCATTCTAATTTTGTAACGTAATGTGCTACGCGTTTCCGGTGGGAGGCACTTCCGTGCCCATAAAGTATTAATCAGTACATCGCGCTCAGTCGTCAAATTTACGAATCTATTCGAAATAGTCTTTCAGTTACGCTGTGTTAATGTCACTTGATATATCTGTATTTCCTGCATTTCCTGCATTTTCTGCAGGCATGTCGTAGGGATTAGTTAAAGGGTTTATCTAAAGGTTGGGTACTTGTACACTAAACTGTTTTAGATACATCTAGCTAAAACTCTGCATTACAAATTTGAGGCCTGCATAGAGTGTTCCTATTATTTTCTATTATTTCCTATTAATCCCTATTTTTTAAATCATTTTTTGATGTATTTGTACGCTTGTACAATTTTTCTAACAGTATCAATTGCTATTGCACTTTATTTAATTGAAATGTTTTCAAGTATATTAAATCTTTAGCGCCCGACAACAAAAGCTACTGTTTGACTCTCACTTACTCTCGTATATAATATATATATATATATTTTTTTAACTTACGCGTGCCATCGAAGCGTGTGGCAATTGTGTCCAGGAATGTGTTCTGGGGCGCTAACAGCCCCTTGCGGGCTGGCATAGGAATGGTTGCGGCCGGTGCGCCTACAGAAGCGCTGCTTCGTACTGGGCGAAACTGCAAAAAGACAAATGACAGACACTTAATTAAATTAACAAGTTAATTTCGTTGTTCATCATTTGTAGTACATTTCACAATTGCAATTGTTTTGCTTGGATTTTATCATAGCTTATTTGTAAAAACATATTCGCGTGTTGTTTAGCAAATATGAAACAGCTACACGCACACAAAAGCTAAAAATTAATTTGATTTTCCCAACACCACAACGCCCACATTGATATTTATTTTGTGCCACACTTTGTGGATAAACAGCGGTGAATAAAAATTATAAATAGTCAGTAGGGAATGGATTACTATTAATAAATATCTGAACCTAGGGCGAATGTTAGTGAGGATGTGTGCCAAAAACTAAAATAGTTTTTAAGAATAGACCAATAATATAAAACAACTGATTGTAGAATATCCGCAGACAACTTATAAAAGCAAGTGATAGCAACGAAAAGGAGCAAAGTAGCGAGTTTTCGACGAGAACTTCTAATTCGCGGAGTAGATCAACAACGTCACCAGGAACGGCTACAAGAGAACGTAACGAGAATAACTGAATTCTAAAATAATAAGATTAGGAATCAGATGTAGCAAATAACCCCACTAGAGTTCAACAAAATCCTAAATTGCAAACTAATAAGCCACCAGAAAGTAATGATTATCAACACAACGAAAAAACTTGTACTATAACATTTAGTTATAATCATTGTAAGTATTAGGTACCTTATTGTTAGCACAGCTACGTGGAAGCTTTAAGTTATTTTAGTTATTAATTATTTGAAATAATTTACAAGCTTTACCGCACATACCCTCTATAACAGCATAGCATGGGTATGTAAAGCTTATGTTACAAATGTCTCACGCAGCCTGGTTAGTTTATTTAGTGTTGACGGCCCTTTAACACAATAAGCCAAAGTCGTTGTGAAAAACATAAATTTAACTGACGTTTTTAATACATTTTTTCATTCGTTTATTTTTTTTTCAACGCCCACAGGCGGCAGGAATAGCAGTTACCACTCAGGTGCCGGTTCATGGAAATTCTGAGTGAAATTCCGAGAGGGAGCAACAGCAGCAACAACTGGCAACAATAACCGAGCTACCGCAAGACTGACAGCTGTTGCGCCAGAAAGCATCGTTTATATATATATATATATTTTTTTTATTATTTTTTATTATTGAATGGAAAAATGAGTAAATGGCATTAAATTTCCAAAGGCGATAGGAACGGGTATGCGTGTGTGTGTGTCAATGTCAGAGAGCGAGAGAACCAGATCGAGGGTTAGCCAAATGTTTAGATTCTTATCATTTACCGTTGACATTTGATGCAAGCCCCAATGTGGCAATTGATTAAGGTTTATGGTTATGTGCGAATGGCATTAGCTGAAAATAATACGGATTTTGGCGAGGGAAATGTAACAGAAACCAAAAAGAGAGAGAGAGGAAGAGTGTTTCGTTAGAAGCTTAAAGCTTGATTAAAATCTTTAATATTTATTCACTTAAGGCTTTATCGCAGTCTCTAGCCTACTTAAAGTTTATAATTAAGTCCATTTAAAGCCATATCAGCCGCAAATCGTGAAAGTTCTTCTCTAACTGTTGTCACTAATCTCTCTCAGAAGCTTCAATTTTTGGCTAATAGCGTTGCAGGCATTAAAGGCAGTTTTTACTTCAACGACTTCTTATTCGCATTAGTGAATTAGAATACCTTAACTTGATTATTTCTTAAAGCAGTTTACAACTGAAAGCTTTGAGCTTAAAGAGCATGTGCACCATCCTCCTATGAGCAACTCTTTAACCGTCATGCTGATTTGAGAGCGAAATCGAATGCTTAAATTTTCAGCTGGTGTCACTGACAAGTAACACGCTCACTTCTCATCAAAAATTCAGTCAAGTGATAAGCGCCTATGTGGCATGAGTGCTTGGCACTGATAACAGACGTTGCCTGCCACAGCGTTAATAAAGCCCATGGTAATAGCCCAGTTAGCTAAGCCTCATGTGACGCAGTCAGGTGAAAATTATGCACACAACTTGCCAACTGCAGTTGAACAGTAAATGCAATTTTAATTAATAAGCTAAACCCAAATTCCCTGCTATGTTTCCTGCTGCACCAAATGTTGGACATAATGTCTAACCACAAAATTTTCATATCCAACATATCCGCTCCGAGGAGAGAGAATCAGGTGCAGGGCAACCACTAACATATGACTACATGAATCTGGTTAACCCACACACACACACGCTTCAGCCCACACGTACATCCTCATGTATGCTACTTTAACTGACAGCCGGGCAACAGTATTCCAAGTGTGTGTATGTGCAATTTCCGTTTCCGCCTTATTCCACATGATTAGACTGATGATATGAGCACTCTCCAGCATGAGCTGCTCATGTGTTTGCCAGAGCATTGGCTGAGGATGGCATGAGCACACTTTGCGTTCACGTTAAAAGGTTTGTTGGTCAAAACCTTGAACAGGCAATGGCAAAAGCAGCAGCAGAAAAAAGAAAACAACATTTAAAACCAATTTCAGAAATTTAAATAACGAAAAAATTAAAAAAGCTTTGGTAATACAGAAGAAACAACATGCATGCACCAACAAAAAGCTCTTTAGTTCAGATAACTAAAAAATATATTTATTTATTTGATATACCGAAATTCACAAGCCGTAATAAAAAATGGCAACAGGCAAACAGCAAACTTTACAAAACAAAAAACTTTTTTTCCAATTAAAATAATAAAAAAACTTTAAAATGAAATACAAAAATTCAGCAAATAGTTGAGCGTAAAAAACTATATGAATGCCTTACAAAAAAAAAAAAAAAAAAAAAACTCACTTTACTCTCAGCTATGTGAATAACATATTTGTTTGCTTTCTATAACAAGAATTACAGCAGGTGAATAAAAAAAATAATATATAAAACAAAATAGAATAAAACAGAATATACATTTTTTTTTTTAATTAATCCCATGCCAAAAATCACAATTAAAATTAGTGATGGAAGTGGTTTCTTTGCAGAGCAAACAAATCATTTTAATTTAAAAATAAAGTCCATCTACATTTTATATTAAAAACAATCATTTTAAGCAGCAAGCTGAAGAGTAATGCAAACTCCTTAGCTTATTGACCAGATACTTGGCGCTGGCTGCTCAGCCTGTCGAGCTACTTTAGCTGAGCACCGGGCCTTTTTGAAGTCAAGTAATTTAATAACATTAAAATAGATTGCACAAATAAATATGCAGCAAGTGCAGGGCCAGCGGCAACCGCTTGGAGCCTGCACTCATTTGAACAAATTTACCTTAACCTCTGGGCAACAAAATGAAAGCACCTGAAAACGAACCAACAGGAACCCAAACGTGAAAACACGACTAGCATTTTTAATTCCAATATATTTATATATGAATGTGCATGTACATATACTATATGTGTACAGTGGAAGGCAGAACGTGCCTCACGTGCAACATATAATGCGGCACGGAAATGCGATAATACATTTCGCAATTTTTTTTTTATGCCACAAACTTCACACACTTGGCTGGACGCAGAAAAATTGCAGGCAAGTGGTACATATTTTGCGGGTAGCGTTGATTAGATGGTCTTTCATATAGAAGATTGGCCAACATTTTAGCCAAATCTGGCAAATTTTGTAGAAATCTTTTGAGTAGAAGCTGATATGTCTTATTCTGGTGTATTTGATAGCTGCAGTAGTGAAAAACATGTCTATCAAATTTCATTAAAGTGGCTTTACTAGGACACACAGATAAAAGGGTAGATAAATATATTGACATTGTGAGCGACATTTGAAGCATGCTCAGTTTCATAGCATCGATTCTCAAGACAGTATAAATTGATACACAACTCTCTTGAGAACATATTCAAAATAGTTTCCGTTAGGGTACACAAAGTTCGCAAAAAGTACCTTAATTGGCATGGCGTTTTTATTTATATTTTATTGCAACAGTTTGCCACATGCCACTTGCTTAGTTGCTTTTCAGCGATTTGTTGGCATTGGCATTGCGAATGGCCGCTGGGCTACAAGAGTTCGTCCCTTTTGCCGCTTCGATGACGCTGAACGCGGCTCTGTATGAAGCCCTTTATGATCTTATTGCCATTAACGAGCACTGCAAAATGTATATGCATATCCGATTCAAAACTGAAAGCGGGCATATTCTGCATATTGGAGCGAAAGCTGCGCACATAGATGAGCTCGTCCTTGGGAAAGGGACAACGCTTGGGCACATTACTAAAGCTCTCCATTGTAAGACGGCCCAGCTGTATAAACGGTATCTGATTTTTGTTGGCCAACAATTGGCAGCCATTAATGTCGCTCAGGTTGAACAGTGTAAAATCCGGACCGTTAACTCGTGGCAGCACACTGGCCATGTTAACAAGAAACTTTGTCACAGGCTGACGAAACTTTAGCTCAATCGAGAAGGTGCGACGTCGCCAGCTTCTGCCCAGGCTGCAGTTCAAATGGGTGAGCAACTTTTCGGGATCATCCGAACTGCAGCTGCAGTTGTTAAACATCATAAAAAACTTTGTCTGCGGTCAGTTTGGAATTAATATTTAAAACAATTACTATATGTATACCGCTGTTTACCTTGGCACTGGCAACATGCACGGCCATGCTTAAAATGAACAAAAGCACGTACAAAAATGTTGAATTCATATAAACAAAGGCTAGTTAAAAAACGAACAACTAAAAAACATTTAAAATGTACATAATAATTTACCTGATATATATATGCATATATGATGTAAACAATTATGCACTAATTGCTTTAATAATTACACATCATAGACCATTAAATATGATTAACAATCTGCTTTAAAATGTGTTTGGGTCAAAATTATATTTGTAAATTTGTGTATGAAATCAATTAAAAAGCGCAGCACAGCTATATAATAATATATTATAAAAATGGTTTGATTTAAATAATTATAAATAACCAAATATTCAATTTTTTAAAAGCTGCTTAGCATGGCAATATTAACGATACCTTTTTTATATATATTCTAGGCTTATAAGAAAAGATAATTTTTTTAAAGATTCAATTAAATCTAACGCGATCTCTGAATCAACTTATTCCCCATTGTCGCCTTTATAGAAAATATCTCTCATATATCTTTATATTGACAGTCTTTCGGTATTATGCCAGCGCATTATAAAACAAAAACATTTTGTGCATGCCAAAGCAAAAGAGGAACAATGTCTTACGCCCATTTCTAATTTATTAACTGATATAAGAAACACATCAGATATATAAAATAAATCTTCCAAGTTAAAAAGAAATATATATAAAAGAAATGCAAATTTAAAAAATTAAATTAGTCTCAAATTAAACTGGATAATGAATAATTCAAAATTAAATTTAAATAGATATGTCGGACTTGGTTTCCTTTGATTAAGATAAGTAACCGGAGTAAGAATAATGAAAACAGGTAGTAAATAAATTATAAAATATAAAATAATAATAATATAAAATAAAATAATAAAAAAATTAGTAATATGTTCTATGAATTATAATTTAATCTAACATTAATAAGAATCATTATTCTTATTGTATTTACATTAGTATGTATAACAATAACATAATAATTATATTATTTCAATGCACTTATTCGCATAGTGTTTGCACATAAACTAACCTAATTTGAATGAAATTTGCACACAGAGATAATACAAAACAAATTCAAATACGCTTAGATTTTATATATAACGTTCAAAGCATGTTTATTTTATCACGCTACTAAACATTATTTATTCAGTCGCACATTAGTCAAGCCTCAGTGGATGACAATATTTACAGGCATTATTTGGCGATTTTGATTAACGAATAAAATTTACAATTCAATTGCTTTTGTTATTGCTTAATGAGTTTAGTTTGGAAGAAAGCGCTGAAATGTACGTAACGCCCTTGGCATTTATCGCTATTCTTTTTGGCTATCGACTGGTCCAGCCGATTGCGGCCAAGGTGCGTATACGTAATGGGTAAGCGATTGATTTACGCAGTTTTTTATGTGCTTATAGACGGACTTTGAGCTGCAATTCGAGAATTTTACATGCATTCGCGGCAGTGCTTCAAAAGCAAATCCCCTGAAGAGTTTCCATTGCGGTCTCAGCAAGAATCCCAAACGGCGCACTATGCACATGGAATTCGCGCTACTGGAACCGCTTAACGAGCATGAGTTTCACATGCTCATTGTAATACCCCGTCGCACAGTGGACTTTGTGCTGCTCAATGTGACCACAGATGGCTGCCAGTTGCTCTCGAATAAGAATCAAGTGCCGCTGCTGCGCATCGCACGCGATATACTTGACCGCTACAGCAATTTTCCTCGACTCTGCCCCTTTGAGCAGGGCAAGGCCTACTATATGCGCGGCTTTCGACTGGACCTGAGTCTAATACCAGCTGTTATGATGGAAACGCCTGTCTCCGTTCAATTTGGCTATAAGCGCCGCCAAGTGCAACTGTTCCAAGGCCATATTGTGGCCCATGTACAGCGCACCAGCATTGCCAAGAAGAAGAAAGATGTCTGAATTGTGCGGCTTGAAAAAACAGAAATTATTGACGCATGTCTTAAGCGCTATACTGGTGTTCTAGTAAATTTACGCTTGAAACTCTCTTCAGCAGAATTTACTGTGTTTCAAATAACTTCTGTATTGATTTAACGATTCTTAGGAAATTTCAAGAGCAACAGATTCCCAGAAAAATATATGATACCGAAAAGCAACAAATTTTTTTTTAGCAAGTAAGAACTTTTGCCATTCAACTGCACGAGATCAAAAATCATTGCAAATTTGGGATAAGTTTCATAACTCAGGATTAATTGAAAGCATATGCAATTTAAAGTTATAAGATCGTAAGAGCAGGCACACAGCTATAATTGTTGAGAAAACTTAAACATTTGGCTACACAAAAGTGAAAAATCATTTTACGATAACAAACTCAGGAACAAGTCACAGACAGAATGAGAGAATACAGTAGTTAATTTGGATATGCGGCTTCTGGCTTCTTGTTTAGCCAAAGGATTAGCTCTTTGTAGCGGACGGCCAGCATTAACAGATCAATGAACTACAGACAAACTACTCTAAATTCGTCGATGCTAGTCAAAAGAAGAGCTATAAACATTGGCCACTGTGTGTCTGGCTGTCTGTGGCAAAAGCTCGCACTACTTTATGACACCCTTTTGATGGCCAATTTTTTTTATGGCTTGCAGAGTATGAAAAGTTGACAGCCGCAGCAGCAGTACATATGGCCTCGAAGTTAATATAACAAAAAAAAAAATAATAATAATATAAAAAAGCCACCTGTCTGGCGTTGACAACGTGAACACAGTCGCAACACCTGATGTTGCAGCACTTAGACAGGCTCTGGCTCTGTCTCTGTCGTTGTTGCTGTCCGTGTCACTCGTACGTGCTGCACTGTGTGGCAGCAATTTGTTCCAAGCCATTCAACAAATGTTGTTCAATTACCGTTTGCACACACACACACGCACACACATAGAAACACCTGCACACACACTTTGTTGCAGCCGCTAACAGAGCTATTGTCTGTCTGGTTGCTGCCACATGGCGAATGACAATTGGCAACTGGCAACTGGCAACAGACAACTAATAACATTTTCATCCGCCATGGACTTTTTGTGCCTTGGGGGCTGCAACCATGCTCCTAGCTCGGGTTCGAACTCTGTTTGCCAAATGATTTGTTACAGTTTCCCATTTGTGCACTTCCGGTGTCTGTCACAGGTGCTAGCTACATGCTAAATTTGCCAACCGGCTTTTAATTAGACGTTGGAGATTTGCATGTGTTGCCTACTCACTGCCAACCTGCTCCCCAGCGACCCTTCAGCATTGGTAAGCTTAACTGTCAGTTTACCAGCAGCAGGAGCAGCTACTGCTGTCAGCATCGATTTTGCAACAGTTTGCAGCAAGTTTGACTTTGGCATCTTGAAATACCCCCCTTTGAGACAGCTAATTGGACTGGCTTTGATTGCCTCTGCGGTTGTGGTAGCTCCAGTTGTTATTGTTCTTGCCAGAGCTGTCTGCCGCCTCTGGCCATTCTCTAGTTAATTTATGAAATTTCACACACAGCTACAGCTCCGAATTTATTATGCATACGATTATTTCATTATGCCATTAAGCAAAACAATTAAGTAAAGCTCCTGTCAAATGTGGGCATTACCGCCTTGACAGCATGTTTGTTATATCAAATGCTTGATGTTAAACTTCTTATTTCTAGCTGAACTAAGGCGCTCTCCAACAATGTGTCAAGTTAAGTCTCTTTTTTCCAACCAAATAACAATGCAAGTTTAGGCTCAAAATTCAAAATATTTCAGAATATATGACATTAACTTTTCATCTAGAATAATTTTGCGCTTACATTAGTATACTTTTTAATAGAGTAATGCGAACAAAGAGAATTTCAACAGATGACTGAAAAGACATGACAGCACTCACAAAAGATTTCCCTGTTGAAGTAGTTACCTGGATTTTATGATAATTTTAATAAACTGTAGAACATTTTAAAAACCATTTGCAAGGGTATTTAATCGCGTCCCTCTTGCCCCATTTACTTGTGTTGCATATTTAATTTTAACCGCTGTTAACCTGTTGAAAATTCTCAACTAGCTTAAAAGGTCTACATTATTAATGGATTTTCTTTGGGGTATTTTGGTTGTCTGTTGCTTTTGCTGTTGTCTTTGTGTTGGGTTTTATGTTGTTTTTTTAAAACGAGCAAAAACGAATTATTGATAAGCCCTGTCCGCAAATTCTTGTGGTTGCGCTGCCGCCTATACCCCGCCCATCGCCAACGACGGCAATGATATGCCGCAAAATGTTTAAGACATCAGCCCGCCCCGCCCAGCCCCGCCTCAACGACGCCCACTGGCAACAACCGACTCTTGGCTTAACTGCGACGCATAATTAAGGCAACCCTTTCCGATCATTTTACGAGCTGCTATATGGCATATGATGGGACGGGCAGACTTTTGTCTTTATCGACCAGCCACAAAAGTTTGGCTTTTCAACTTTTTGCCATGCCATAAAAAACTTTTGCCAGTTTTTCACATTATTTTTTTTTTGTTTAACTTTTCACATATTTTCATTTTTTAAAATTTGAATTTTAGCTAAAAATGCAAATAAATGGTATATACATAATTAATTAATGTTAGTTGCGGCATTGTCAGTCGCTTAAAGACATTTCTGATGAAATATTACTTTGCATATTGTAAATGTATCTGTCAGATAGCAGCAAGAAGAAGAAGAAGAAGTAGAAGCAGCAAAACACAAAACTTTGACATGAAAAGTCGTTTTCTTGTTGTGGGCAAAATCCTGAAAATTCATCTTTCGCATTCACAAACTCACCGCCCCAAACGACAAAGCAAAGGCAGGGCGAGGCGCGACAGCGTTGCACAGTGGTGCGAGTATATGGAATGCCAGCACGAAAAACTGCAGATCTCATATTTTTTAAACTTGGCAAATTTGACATCAAATCAGAAGAACTATGGAATTGGCAGCAAGGATTTGC